ATTGATGAAAAACCACCCCTCTCCCACATCCCACTGCCTTTCACCGCCTTTCAGTTTCATTTCAAACTCACATGAATTAGTCTGCTTGCTTTCCAAAAATATTATCCAAACAATAGGGTGAAGGAGATTTTTATGGGCAGTATGGAATAGGAGGGTGAATGGGAATTAAATGCAGTTTTAGAGCATTGGAGTAGGCAGGAAAAGGCACCGTGGAGGGAGGAGGTAGAAGCCAGAGCAGAGGTAGGGAGTCAGCCTGATTGGGTGAATCTTGAGCTATCTACAGAGACGATTTAAGCTAGGCATAGACATAAAGATTAGATGAGATTCAGACATGAGACAAGTGTATTTGAAAACCTTGGACATTCAACTCATTGGTACCTACAGCATGCCAAGTTTCAGTTTGGGCGCAGAGGATCTCGGATGAACAACACAGGGTCACAACACAAAGTCCCCTGGAGAAGCTTTTATTCTAGTGAGAAAAATAGGAAGAGAGGGAAGGGTTGCAGAGAAAAGGCTTAATTTTGATGTAGTCATGAAGGATGAGTAGGCATTTGCCCGGCAAAGAAGAGGAGAAAAGTTGAAGGTCCATGGGCATAGATTCAAAAGCTGGAGTAGGAGTTCAAGAAAGCAGCTTGGTTCCATTGGAGTCTAAAGGGTCAGTGAGGGAGAGGAGAGAGTTTTGGGGCCACATCACAAAGGAGATTGTATCAAACCCTACAAGCCATTGAGAGAGTTTAAATAGATTAAGCTTGTACTATACAGTATGTTAGGAGTCTGGCAGGTACTCAGAGGAGGGATGAGAGAGGAGAGCTGAAGACAGGAAACCAGCCAGGAGGCAAGGTAGTATGCAGTATAAACCAAAAGGCGTTAGTGGAGCGAAGCCGGAGAGGTAGGAGCCTAGTCAAAGGATATTTAGGAGGCAGACTCTCCAAGAACTGGTAGCAAGTAGGACTTAGTGCGACTAAGGACCCAGGTTCCTGGCATGGTGCCCATTTCATAGGTTAGGAAATACAAAGGCAAGGCAGGCACGAGTTTGGTGGGAAAGTTACAGAATTCATCGTTGGGTTATTACTAGTTACTTCCTTTGGTGGGTAAATTTTCTGAAAGCATCAGTTCCATGATGCAATTTCAGTGATTAAGCTGCTAAAAATTTGTTTTGTAACCTTAATCATGACGAATACCTGGAAACTGCTAGCAAAACGCTGAGCATGGGGAGGGAGCTGGAAACCACCCAAGGCAGCTGGTCGCCCGCCAGGTTCCTGGGGGTGAGTACGGAAGAAGCTTTGAGTTTTCAAACACAAAGGTCCGAACGTTTTGAGGTTTCTAAAGCTAAGGTCTTAACCCAAATTCACAAAACTGCTACCGTCGTCCCTGGGTGGGCTCGAACCACCAACCTTTCGGTTAACAGCCGAACGCGCTAACCGATTGCGCCACAGAGACAGGCGAGCTCTGGCTTTCCTGCCAAGTCAATTCACTGAAGAAAAATTTCACAGCGCTCTCTGTGCCTCCGGAACACTGTGGCTGAGGCTGATCTAGGAACCGGCAGGACCGCGGCGTTTCCTTGCACCAGGGCGCGGCTGATACAGCCCTGAGCCAGACAGGACTTTTTCCCGCGCCAGCACTTGCTTGGATCTGGGACAGGACTCAGCTTCTACCCAGAAGAGAGACTGAGCATGCTGTACAATATTTTCTTAATTTGAAGATATTAAAGGGGTACAAATGTTTGGGGTACATGGACAACTTTTTTTTTTTTACATATACATGTGTTTAGTAGGTTTCCATTTTTTTTTCCTTCACAAAATTGGACAACTTTTGTAAATGCTTAAATCAGGGCTATTAGTGTGCCCATCAACCGAATAGTGTTCATTGTACCTGTTAGGTAGGTTTTGTTGTTTTATTTCTGCCCTCCCCCTTCTTGATTTCCAATGACTTCCAAATTATTAGAGCATACATGTTGTATTTGTTTTCCATTACTGAGATACTTAGGACAATGGTCTGCAGTTCCATCCAAATTGCTGCAAAAGACATGAATTTACTTCTTTTTAGGGCTGAGTAGTACTCTATGGTGTATGTGTGTGTGTGTGTCTCACATTTTGTTCATACTTTCATGAATTAATGGGCACTTAGGCTGATTCCACATCTTTGCGATTGTGAATTGTGCTGCAATAAACGTTAGAATGTAGGTATTTTTTGATAAAATTACTTCTTTTCCTTTGGGTGGACACCCAGTAGTGGGTTGTTGCATTACAACATAATATTTTTAATATTGCTGAGAAAAGAGGAACAGAAGAGGAATGAAAGAAGGGTCTTTCAATAATCCAAAATGGATGCTTTCTGTGGGTTTGGGAGTTCATTTGGTTTTACTCAGAAAGGTACACAAATAAACTTTTTTGATGATCAAGAAAGACAATTTATGTACACATGCGTGCAGTACATGTCTGAGTACTGACTCATAATAAGCTTCTTATTTTGAAAAGTAAAAATATTATATCATATGTCCAATCTCTCCTGGCAAAATGTACTATTTAAGTAAAGGGGCTTCATATTACAAAATTAATTTTCAACTCCAGCTGTTTTGAAAGGTTTCTACCAGGATATTAGGTACCCCAAAAGATCATGGAGTTTAAAATGCCAGTGAAGTAATGACTTTCATACTAACATATCCAGATTCAAATATCTGAGGACCATGATCACCCTAGGGATCCTGGTTAGTACTGAGCCTAATTAGCCATTTTCTACATCAAGGGCATTCCAAGGGTCCTCCCTACTCTCCACACAGAACCTCCTTCCTTTCTGCACTGTCATCTGGGTTCCACTTTAGCTGCAAGTCAAAGTTTTCAATGGTGTTCAGTGAAATGAGAATATGCACAAACACAAATATGCATGTACAGAAATTATATATACGTATGTGTGTACATATACACATATACTTTATATCTTAGTAAAATACATATTTGCTTTATATATGTTATTAAATTTATATATTTACCACGTGACCTACAAACTGAGATAATTTGCTTTTAAATGTCCTTTACTTTATAAAATTTTAATTAGGGGGTCAGGTGTGGTGGCTCACACCTGTAATTCTAGTGTTCTGAGAACTTGAGGTGGGAGGATCACTTGAACTCAGGAGTTCCAGACCAGACTGAGCAGTAATGAGACCTCATCTCTACTAAAAATAGAAAAATAGCTGGTGGCCAGCACCTGTAGTCCCAGCTACTCTAGAGGCTGACTCAGGAGGATGGCTTGAACCCAGGAGTTTAAGGTTGCTGAAGCTGGGGCACTCTAGACTGGACAACAAAGTGAGACTCTGTCTCAAAAAAAAAATACATATATACATATACATATAAATGTATGTACATGTACATATATTATTTTTTGAGACAGAATATATATGTATATACATTGTATATATACACACACACACACATATATAATTAGGATAGATAATAGTTGTCGTGGCTGTGGTTGTTTTGTTAATTTCCTAACTGGGCAAAATAAAAGGTTGGAAACTGTATTGGTAACCAATATTTTGGGAGAAATTTTGCTCATCTGTGAAGTCTTAGTTTGTGAGCTATTACTCTAGGTTTTACCTCTTTTATTGATTGGTAGCAGAAATAAAGTTATTAGTTTCCAGTTTATTCTGAATACACATATATTTCCTATGCTTCATTTTACATGTACATCATGGCAATCCAGAAGAAGTCAAGAAAAAAGGAGCATCATTAAAAAAGAATAAAAGATCACGCCTGTAATCCTAGCACTCTGGGAGGCCAAGACGGGTGGATTGCTTGAGCTCACCAATT